GCACCTCTTCAAGAGCGCGAATATAGCCTCTTCAAGAGCGCTAGATATGATCTCTTTAGGAATACCAATTGACTTATTCTTTCAAGAAACTTTGTCTTTTGCATCGACAGGTCTACCATGCTTCTGGCGTGACTTAGATACATTTACAGTTATACCAGCAAATTGTCCTTCAGGAACATCAATTCTTGTTGGAGTATTAGCAGCTGGAATATGGGATTTTATTATATTTTTACTATCGGTGAAGGCATTCGGTAATTGAGTTGCTTATACTTGGCAAATAAATAATCCTTTAAACTTCTAGTTCACATTGATTAGTACAAGGATCAAGATAAGATAACATCGAATTATTTCACGTGATTTCACATCGAGTTTCAAGTGACGACTTTTCTCCCCCTGATGACGGGAAGACTGTTTCGTCAAAATGGCAATCCTCAAAACATGTTTTAAATCCATCACATGTTAAGAATTCAAGATATCTAATAATAGATGGAGAATCAAAACAAACATAAACTCCAAGTTTACGTTAAGGACCCATTTACAATAGAAACGTATACAACATAACCAAACATTTTAAATAAATAATATTTGATGGTTAACCAAATACAAGCTATAATGGTGAGTACTCATGTATATAGCTGGTCTAGCATGACCCCAAGCTGAAACAAGTAATTTATTTTTTATAAGCAAAGGTTGAGTGATCAACTAAAGCCATTTAATTAAATATGAAACTATACCATGTTGAGTATGAACATAGACAGTAGGATGCTTGACATCAATGAAAACATGTATGCAATAATCATTAAAAGTTGTGTTATGAATGAGACTATCTAGTTAATATATCTATCAAAATCATGAAATAACGAATAGTTCATATTGATATGAATGAGATAGAATCTAATAATTAATTTTCTCAGTGAACAGACAGAGGATGGATAATCACTTGACAAAAGAATCTTTTGGTTCTTTAATGGATGTCTTATTTGAATTTTTAATAATTCAATACATCCTTATAGATCCCAGATGCTCAGGGAAATCATGCCCTAACATGACCGCTTTTTGGATTATGACACTTCTGGTGTGTCAAGTTGGAGCACTTCTGGTATATCCCAACATTTGATTCAATTGCTCTTATTGTTGTATAATACAACTCATATGAATATTAAGTAACTTTAGTAGAAGTAATATATAGATATTCTTCTTTACCTTTATTTATGATTTCAATAACCAATACAACATATATTTTTAAAACTTAACATATGTCTTCTGGATCTGGTAGAATATACTTCATCAATATCAAATTTGATTCCATTTGACAATTATAATATTGGCTCTTCTAAAGTTTTCAATCAAGTTTGCAGAGCCTGATATTTTACATTAACATTTGTCATCACCAAATGTTTTTCTTTACAAAGAATTATGGATATCTTTATATTGTCTACTAAATTATTATTTTACCCAACATTTTAGAACTAGTCAATACATCAATACAATCCATGTATATAGATAGCTAATCATCATTTCCAAACATAATCAAATAGAAAAATATAAATTCTAAAAACATAACTAAAACAAATATAATATTTAGAAATTAATGTGAATATTTTCATTACTAATAATTTTTTTGTTCTTTTATTGAGGCTTGTTATATAGAGGACAAACGCTTCAAGTGAAAAAGATTTCAATAGTAAAATACTGTTGATAAATAGTATTTTGAGAAAATTGCTAAAAGAATGCACAATGATGAATAATGACAAACAGTGAACTTTCGAGTATAAAAACATGAACAATAATTATTTATGCATAGTAATCACTCACTTTCTAACAGATTTATTTGCCGTACAATATGCACCATGCATATGCAACATGAATACATGCAAACATACATACATTATTCTTGGGAGATTCTATTATGTAAACTTTTCCCTTTTTTTTTGTGATATCTCAAGATTCCACTTCAGGTGGAATGACATGATATTTTTGCTCGAATGTTTCTGAATATGTCTCCTATGGATTCTGTAATTTTACGCTAGTAATGTCCGAAACCATGACTTCTCCCTCGGCCGCGACCATGAAATGCAGCCTTATTCATCTCAGGGAATTGAACAGAGCCAGTAAGGCAGGATTGATGATTTTTCAATAAAAGTTGCTTAGTTTGTTCAACCACAAGAAAGTATGAAATCAGTTCAGAGTACTTTGTTAATTGACACTCGTTATATTGCTACTACAGGATCATATTATCAGCGTGAATATTTCAACACATATTCTATAGAGTGTACTCACTAACTGATTCATAATTTTGCAACTTCAGGTACAATCAATTATAGGGAGCTTTTTGGGAGGTTTACGGTCTTTTAGTACTCGTATTTCTCCTTCAAATTATTAAACAATAATAGTGAATCTGTTACCGTGGGGCATTCAATTCTAATTTTTCTTAGAGATGGTGGGAAATGAATATCATTGCCTTTGTATGATCCTTCAGGGATGCTTCATTTTCATTTTTAATGGCATCTCCAAGATCCATTGCCTCAATGTGAATCTCAACATTAAGTATCCAATAAATAAATTTTTCTAAATATCAAGATCTATGAATTCTGATTTTGAAGGATTTGACATATTTATGCACTCAATACAACAATAATAATATATTTGGTATTACGTGAATATATTAAGACAAATATAGAATTAGCCTTATCATGACTGCTCTTATAAAATATTTATTTAGAATTTATCTATACTTACCTCAATCATTTTGTAGAAAAACCGCACTAACCTTATTACTATGTGATTCCACTTCTTCTTCTCAGTTGGTCAAAATTTTGTATTGATAATGTGTTGTAAAACTAAAGAAAATAAAGAAAAAAGAACCACAATGGAAGGATAAATAAAGTGTTTTTTTTTTTTTTTTCATTACCATGTAAACTCAAGCATCTTCAACCCACTAGGCATATGATGCTTGTTAGTCAAAATGCCTAATATGACTCACTTTTTTTAACTCCAATGCACTAGGCATATACTTAGGCATTTTGGCTCAGCTCACATTCACTAGCTACATGTAGCTAGCCTTCAAGGCTAGGCAAAATGTATTTAATCATTAAGATTATTTCCCTCCATCTTTGTTGCTGACGTGGCATTCTATAAAGTTAATAGTATTTGGATGAATAGCTAAAATAAAGAGCATGATTGGGATAGAAACATGAAATTGTTGACAGGCAAAATAAAATGTATACTTTATAGTAATATTTAGATAGATAAAATGCCTACTACCATTGGAGATGCTTTATAGGTTATAAAACTCTCACTATTTACTACTATTCACCACATCATGTGGTTTACCACATTACATACCACACTTCCTACATGATAAAATTATCCCTTATTTTTACTTTGGCCCAAAAACTCATTAGAATTCCAATTGTATCTCTTTTGATAGTTATCTAAATATTTCACAACACAATTATTAGGCTTGGTTTGGCATCTACTATATAATCCATCTTTTTATCTTTTTTTCATCACATCACCTCTCTACTTTTTTGCACATCTTTTCGTAAAAAGACAAAAAGTGCACTTTTTTAGGACACCCCAAACTAACCCTTAGTACCATTATTATTTATAACCGATCATATTTAACCTCTTATAATTTTAGTAAAATATTAAATAAGAATATTAATATTTATAGAATTATTTGACCATCGCATCTTAAAGTGATGAGAATTCCTAGGAACCAACTAGTGCATACATTCATGTGAATCTAGATAGACTTGGTCAACCTTAGTTGGTTTTTGAGGTTTCATTCGTGGTTAGTTCGTCTATTAGTTTTGAGGTTTCTCTATTTTATTTTTAATTGCCAATTGGTTTTGATTATTTATTTAAAAAAAATTTGGGTCTAGGTAAGAGTTTGCACGGTTGATTTAGATTACTTTTGTAAGAAAATTATTAACCAACCTGTCGTTTGCGCATTGAGAAAATTTTAACTTATTGTCAATCTATCTATCCTCAAAATTAGCCGATTGCTTGAATATATTTATAGATTCATACCCATGGTTTCAATATGTTAAAAATATAAAATAAGGAAGAAAACGACAAAATTAATGAAATATTTCTCTTTAACTTTTGGTAATAGTGGTAGTTTATTATGTTTTTTATTAGTTAAGTTCCCTCCATAATATTATTAAAGAAACTTTAATTCATCACAGAGAAATTTTAACTTGTCACAAAGAAATTTTACAAATTTAAAAATAATATTTTCTTGGATCGAAATTTCTCAATTTTTCTTGTCTCAGTTAATTTTGGCACGAGAATATATTATTTTTAAATTCTCATTTTTCATGTCAAATATATAATTTGAGATAGAAATATCGATATATTTATGGATTAAAATTATTCTAGTTATGATTCACATTTCCATCAATTTTATATCTATCTAAGCTATACATAATGGAAAATGATACAAACTTACTTTCTAAACTTATTATCTAAACTCAATGATATGTAAGTGATATGAAAATTTGCTAATTAAAGAAAATATGATAGAGAGTGCTATCTTAGATATTTTAATTTATTATGATATTATTAGGCTTGGAAATTGAATTGAATTTTTGAACTTTGGTAGCAATGCCATACATAATATATTGAGGCAAATTTTGAGAAAAAATTCTTAGTACATAACATATTGGAAATTAACTAAGATAAGAAATTTCTTGGTATATTGTGTGGGTTTAAATAATGAGTCACGCGTTTTGATTTAAATTAAAACAATCACAAATGCAAAACCATTCTATTTATAAAAAATAAAAAAAAAAGTAAAAAAAATAAAATAAATAATAATAATAATAATAATAATAATACTAACAATAATAAATATATGTTGATCCTGCTTTTCCAAGACAAGAAAGAAATAGATCTGCATGACAGAGTCAGCTGAACTTCACTAATAGAGGCTTATAAAAACTCAACTTCTCGTCCCACTAACACACCACAATCCTCTCTCAAACTCTTCCCTCTCTTGCTACTTTCACCTTCTGCTTTCCAATTGAGAGAAAAAAACTAAAAACAAAAAAGAAGCAAATACATGGAGAAGCCAGAAAAGATTGGAAGGTTTTCAAGCTGCCGAGGTGTGGCCTTTGAGATCAAACCACATTCAGATCCATTCGCTGTCACAACTCCGGCCATAGCCGACCACCACGGAAGCAAAAGACAATGGCTTCCATGGGGCAGCTCTTCCAAAATAGTCCCATCTTCCAGTATCATACAAAGGTCCACGAGTCGAGCCAGTAGTCATTTCTGTGATCTAGAACTTGATGGTGACGAAGATGATGACGATATTTTAAAGTCTTTGGAAGAAGGAAACGAGGAAGATGGACTGCACCCAGTTCCCCTTCTCGTTCCTCCTTCCAAAATCCACTGCGAACAACCTCCTAAGGCTCCAAAGCCCAAAGATTCATCAAGACTATCGATTATTCTCCTCGATCAAGGCCTTTTCACGGTCTACAAGCGACTCTTCGTAGTTTGCTTGGCCTTGAACGTCACCGGTTTAATCCTTGCAGCCACCGGGCATTTCTCATATGCAAGGGGAAGAGCTGCTCTCTTCTCTATTGGTAACATTCTCGCTTTGACTCTGTGTCGAAGCGAGGCGTTCTTGAGGGTTGTCTTCTGGCTTGCAGTTAAGCTCTTTGGGTGGTCGTGGGTGCCTCTGCCACTCAAGACCGCCTTGACATCGCTCCTACAGTCTCTAGGAGGGATACATAGCAGCTGTGGTGTCTCCTCCATTGCTTGGCTCGTATACGCTTTAGTTCTTACTCTCAAAGATAGAGAAAACAGTTCTACCGGAATTGTATGGGTTGCATCGATGATTCTGTGTCTGCTCTCCTTCTCTGCCTTCGCAGCATTCCCTCTTGTCCGCCATCTCCACCACAACGTGTTTGAAAGGACTCATCGTTTCGCTGGATGGACAGCTTTAGCTCTCCTCTGGACCTTTATTATCCTTACAATCTCTTACGATCCAAAGACAAAATCCTACAGCAACCAACTGGGATCTAGATTGATAAAACAACAAGAATTCTGGTTCACACTAGCCATCACACTGCTAATAATCCTCCCTTGGCTGACAGTCAGGCGTGTCGCAGTTATGGTCTCGGCTCCTTCTACTCACGCCTCGATAATCAAGTTCCAAGGTGGTGTCAAAGCGGGTATACTGGGTCGGATCAGCCCCTCACCGTTATCAGAATGGCACGCATTTGGTATCATTTCGGATGATAAGAAAGAACATATGATGTTGGCTGGTGCAGTTGGGGACTTCACGAAGTCATTGGTTTCCAACCCACCTAGCCATTTGTGGGTTAGGCAGGTTCACTTTGCTGGTCTGCCATACCTCGTGAACATGTACGATCGAGTTTTGCTGGTGGCGACTGGCTCGGGTATCTGCGTCTTCTTGTCATTTCTGTTGCAGCCTTGTTCAGCTAATGTTTGCTTGATCTGGGTTGCGAAGGGGATTGAGCAGAATTTTGGAAAAGAAATTAAAGATTGGGTGAGTGGGTACCCAAAAGAGAAAGTGATTGTTCATGACACGGCGGTGCTTGGCCGCCCCAATGTGTCTCAGATGAGTGTCCACGCCGCGAGGAATTGGAAGGCTGAAGTGGTGATTGTTACTAGTAATCCAGAAGGGAGCAGAGATGTTGTCAATGCTTGCAAAGCTGAAGGAATTCCTGCATTTGGCCCCATTTGGGACTCTTGAAAGTTTTAGAATTGGGTTAATATTTCAATTCCAAAGTTTTGCTTGGTTTTACGGAATTTGCAGTGATTAATATTTGTTTCCAAAGGATATAAAAATTTGTTTGATTGTTTGGTGTTCTGTACTAATAATATTTCTTTTGATGCTCAAGGAACTTGATTGTCTTTCTTTCTTCTTTCGTGTTTACAGTTTCTTCTTCTTATCAAGCCTATCGTAATGGAAACTGTGCATGCAAATTTGGATTTTCTCTTTCGATGTATAAGACATTATTAAAGGGAAAATGATATATAATGGCCGAGTGATCCACTATAGTATTATGATTGATAAAAAGTATAAGATACTATGATTTTATATTAAGTAATTAAGGAACATGAGCGGATATGATAAATGATGATTGGTGAATGAGTATGGACACGTAGTACTCTGGAATTTTCCGTAGAATCACTTTCTAAATCCAGATATGTGTCAACAAAATGATTGATTGATAATTAAAGAATAAATAGGAAGGAGAGTTGATTTAAATATTTTAATAATGTATCATATCATCGGGTCTAAAAAGTAGGTTTAATTTTTGAATCTGAATAAGAATACTCTTATTAAAATTCTAAATTAATAAACTTCAATTGTTAACTCAATTTAAATTTTAAAGTATCTTTTAATCTTTTATTTTTATTGAAAATAAGAATATGCTAGTGTGAGTATTTCACAATCGTTGACATTAAAGCCGATTTCTCATTTTGTTGATGTAATGGATTCATATGATAGTCAAATGAAAGGAATAATAATAGTAGGTGTTGCTTCTCTCCTATCTGTTATTTGGACTGTAAGGTCCAATTATTATTATTATTCTTATTATTTTTTATTTTTTTTCACATAGAAAGGTCCAATTTAGGTTAAGTTTGACTAAACTAAAAAAGTGCTTTATTTCATCTTTTTATCTTTTTTGGGTCACATCAATCAACATATTCTCTCTACTTTTTCTACATATAATACAAAAAAAGTCAAAAAATACACTTATTTAGTCTTCCCAAACTTGACCTTAGTTTATTATTGCAGCCATGCACTATTCCCTTTGGAGGTTGAGGAGTCCAATCCCAGCTCTTTGAGCTTCCACACGAGTCGCCCCATCCACATTTAGTGATAAACCGAGGTGGAGGACCCAACCAATGTGATGAAGTGTCCACATTACAGACGTTCACATTATTAGGTGTGGCTATACATCTGTAATTTCAAATTTGTTTTAACTGTTCTAAGTCTTATTTGAGAACATATTATTTTAATATTTTTTTAACATTTTATGAAAATATAATAATTTATAGTGATTTTTGGACTTTTTAACTAAAATATATAATTGACAAACGAAATCTAAGTGTGAGAAGTAGAAAAAGAAGGGCCAAAGCTTGAGAGAAAGAGGGGAAATTATGCGCTTATTTGGGATGTAGGTTGATTTTTTGACTTTTTAGTTTTTTAGCTATTTTAGCCTGAGGCTAAAAAGCCTCGTTTTGGTTAGACTTTTTGACTTTTGTGAGAGAAAAAATAAAATGATTGTGGGTTGGATGTAATATTTTGTCTTATTTGGCTAAAATAGCCTATTTTGTCCTCTATATGACTATTTTAGCCCAAACACTCATCCCAAACAGGGCTTATAGAATGTTTTCGGAGTACCATGTGTCTGTACTCCTTAACCAATAATCATTCAATATGTCTCAAATCACCCAACACAATACTCCACTTACTCACCTTCTCCACTAATCACAATGCTATGAAATACCACGTGTCTATATTCCAAGATCACTGAATGATTACCCGAGAAAGAGAACCTTTCTCCAATGTGTTTGTTTTCTGTATTTTGTCACAGAATTTCTGAGTGAAGTGTTTACGTTAAGTTTCTCTATGAGAGTGTTTTGAACAACACTAAGTAGTTCAAAGAGTCTTCTCCCACCAATTGATTAGATATCAATAATCTTAGGTTTATATTACAATTATTTTTAAAAATAAAATAAATAACAAATATAATTTTAAAAATAGGCCGTACATTTTTGTAAGTCACCGTTTCCCCCACCACTCCACTACCGCCATCGCCGCTACCTCTGCATTACCACCGTCGCTCTACCACTACCATCTTCGCACTCCACTACCACTATAGCCGCCACTTCACCACCACCACCACAACCGCTATTGTTGCTACTTCTCATCTACCGCTACCATTCTCGTCACCAACACTCTACTACCGCCACCACTACCACCATCTCCATTCCACTACCATTGTCTCTCAACCACCACCACTGCCACCATCGTTGCCATTTCACTACTGATGTTGTTGCTATTCTACCCCTACCCCTACCATCACCGCTAGTCCAACTCTACCAAGGTCATATTGGGAAAAAAATTGATGATGTAAATGAATAAATTGGGTTCATTTGTCCAATTCAACCCAAATTATTTAAACCTGTTTATTAATTGGACTGGTTTGGGTTGTGTTGGGTTCTTTTACATGCATAATCTATTTTAACCCATCCAAATTCGCTTGTTTGCCACTTCTAGGTTGGAGTAATCTCATTGTTAGATCAACATAAATTTCAAAAAACTAGTTTTTTTTAATATGATCACTTAATATGTCGGCAAAATCAATGGCATATAATACTCGATAGAGGAATTGAGCAAATCAACTTTTTGATTGCCTTTTTTTTATTAATCAAAATTAAATTTCTCTTTCACTACTTGAAAGGGATTAACTAATCAATGGGTTTATGTAACAGATTTAAAGATCGAAGGCGCATTTAAAGATCAAAGGTTCAACTTTCTTACTTACATGCTTTTTTGAATTCTATTTGTTTAACGTCTTTCTTGTATTTGTTAGTATGATTATCAACTTGTGATTATATGTTTGGACTTTGTTCCATAGTTTAATGTTCAATTTGATTTAAACGAATTCAAAGAGTTTTAGAGAGTTTGAATGTGTCCTCTAAAGAAAAAACAAAGGCTACCTTTTCATAAAGCTTTCTAAGAAGTTCATGGGGATTTCCTCTAAAAAGTTCATGGGAATAACCATCTCACGTGCCCTTGCTCGGGTGATCAATGTGTAGAGTAGTGGGACCACTAGAACATCAAGTGCTATTTATATTCTTATAACTCGAGCTCACACAAAACACTCACAATAGAACATATATACATATATATATATATATATATATATATATTATATATTAAGTAAAAAGAGATTTTTAACTCCAAGTCTTGTGAGAGTTTTAATATCCTAATCTGAATTTTCTAAATTTCTTACATTTCTTGATTTAGTCAAAATACCCTGATTAGCATTTTTTAACATTTTTTAATCTACATGTCTTTTCACATGCCTGCATTTATTGATTTGGTCCAAATCCCATGATTAGCATTTAAAATCTCTTTATACAAATAATTATAGATACAATCCGTGTATAGTTACTGCAGTACCCTTTTCAACTTCTCCTATACACTATGGTTAGTGATAAGATTGTTAAATTATTTTTATAAAAAATCTTTAAAAACATAATTAATATATTAAAAAAAATCTAAAAAAAATCTAAATATATATAATTATCATGTGCATAGCACAGGTGATAGGCTAGTATATATATATATATATATATGAATGTGAATACACTACTCTCTATCATCTACTTCTCACTTTCCCTCTTCCTCTCCCTCACTATCATCCATCATCTATCGTCTACTATTTGTTATCTCATCCTTCAGCTTCTTTTGTCTTCTCATTATCTATACTATCATTATACATGATTTTAATATGATTCTATGTAATGCCTCCAAAATATTTAAAATAAAAACATCAATCAATACATAGTTATACACCAAAAGATCTTCCTTCTCATTGAACTAAGGTTTTCAATTACAATTCCTTGTTCAACATATTAAATACACTTCCATATGACAAAGTTCAACAAGTTAGAGGGTACAAGATAAAATGCCTTAATGACCTACAAAAATTCAGAGCGTTACCTTATTACAACAAAAATGGACTCATAGTCCTAAGCAACTAAGCTCAGTGCTTCCACATTTAAACATCCATAAGCCTCGGTACTCCAATAAAAACAAAAGAGTATACATCATCTCACTAAGGTGGTGACACATTACCAATTCCGAAAAATGTTAGATAGGGATGAGTTATATACGCAGTAGAGATACATTTAACAGAGTATCTAATTATTTGAACATCTACATTGCATCATAAAACCCAAAAATAATTTAAAGTTTATGTTCAAAAATAAAAATAAGTAAGAGAACAAATACATTTTTGTTCTATTGAAAACCTTTCTCAACACAGGGGTGGTAAATATGCCATGAATCCCCCGTAGGAGCCTGGTACTACATATACATATAGGTTTATAACCAAAACTACTCCCCATATTTGTCGGCTATTAATACAGTGTGGTGGGCACCAAAACTCATCCATTTTTTTTTTCACTTTTGCCGACTATTATACAGCATGACCATTGGACACCCAAAAATATTTTCTCACATTCGTCTAGCGATAAGCTCCAGAGAGGATAATTGGGCACCTTAACTTCTGGTGCAGGTACCAACACAATACATTGTTCTCAAAAACCAACTCTCTACCTGGACTCATACTCTATTTACCTCCATTTTTTACCACATTCCAAGTAACCAAGTATTCAATAATATGAGATGAATAGTGAAAATAAAATACATGGGTAATCAATTTCCAAGTCCACAATCTCAACTCAACATACATTAATAATGTATCCCAAACTCTAATTATCCAATAATTTTCAAGATTTTGAAAGTCAATTCTATCCAAGCATCATTTTTCACAAAATCAAAACTAGGGTTTTAATAAATTAGGGGCTTTTACCCCGTCTTCATATATGTGGTAGTTCTCAACACCAATACTCAACACCCAAAATAATTTATTTGACATTTTAATAAATGTTGGGTAAAATCCCTTTTGTGTTAAACATAAAACTTAACTTTTGTTCAATCATCAAAATAAAATATTATGGTCACAACAATACTACATAATCATCCTCAAACTAAAGAAATACTAAGTTAAAAGTAATCCTACCTCAAGGAAAGAGCAAGAGAACTAGAGTTTTAATAAGAATCCTTCAAAGAATCAAAATCCAATCAGTTGAAAACAAGATCCTTACATAGACTCCACTTCTAGCAAGTGATTAGGCTTGAAACT